TGTAGAAGTCTACTTACCCAGGTAAAAAATTAAATAAATCTTTCTGAAAAAGAGCTCTGTAAATGACAGGGACATCAGGCATCATGGCCTTCTTTAGTTTATAGCCAAAGACTGATTTATATAATTTTGATAATTTTTAAAGAGCCTGTATTATATAGTTTTCTGAACTGCTTTATTAAGGGAAATACTTTTTTCTCTTTTAATATAACAGTGACAGTAAGTGCCAAAGTACTGCTGGTAGTTGAACATAAATCCTTGATCTGACCTTTTGAGTCCTACAAATTTTATTAAATATTCATTTTGCATTTGACATTGTTTCTCCGTGAATACAGCTTTTTATATAACTTGAGTATCATGGTGTATTCTGTATTTTCAAAATGCTACCCTCTCTACCACTACTCCCTCGCTTTAGTTTTAGGGATTCATCCCTTAGCACCCCATCAAGTGATCTGGGATTACTACATTGTCAAAATACAATAACTGCTATACCATTTGGACATTTTTGGCAATGGTTAAGAGTTCTCATTTGAGATTGCTTCATAAGAAAGTTTGCAGAAGTGAAGCTATAAAATGCCAAAACAGTTGATTTTTTTTTGGACTTCACTGAAACTAAGTTTCTGGTTTTAATATTTGCTAACAGCAAGGTGCTAGTTTATGTAACAGGATTTATTTACATAGTTACCACAAAACACTTGGTATTTCATGCATTAATGACATTATTTCAATGAAAACAGTAATTTTAGTCTCTTGGTTAATAGTTATTCATAGTGTTTATTTTATGTACTTTACCAATACTCTATATTCTCTTTTATCTGTTTGCCTGCTCCAAAGAACCTGAAAACTGAGTATATATTTTTTATATTTATACATTCTTTAAAAGCAAATCTGTTTAGGTTCTATTAAACCTTGTGTATTAGTACAATATCAAGTGCTTTTGTGCAATTTTTAACCATGTCCTTTTTGTATAAATTATACTATTCCATAAAATAAAACTGTCTTATATCTTTAAACTACTTAAAATGTCTTAGTTTGTATTCAGAGCATCATTGTCCCAATTCTTTTCTTTACCCACTCCATTTATAATTATATTCCCTTATTAGTAAGGATCATTTCAATAAAAAATTCAAGTCTTTATTGAGCTTTTTATATATGTTTAGAACTTTGCAACATACTGTAGAGACTATGGAAGGAATATAAGATATAGCCTCTGATCTTAAAGTGCTAGAAATTTAAAGGAAAATACTGCATTTTTTGAAACAACCAGAGAAAAATATAAGGAGGGTGAAACTTAGTGAACAATTGTGTGAGACAAACCATGAAGTATTAGGAATGTAGGCTGAAATAGTTAAAGAGAACTTGACCTGGGCTTTGAAGCGATGAGTTAGGGGGTGTGGCTTTTAATCTTAGACTTAAAGAATTGACAGATAGATATCTAGAATAAACAAAGCCCTGGCTAAAGAAAATGGAAAGTTTTTGACATTGAGAATTTTTAATGCAGATCAGATAAAAAATGCTGTTATTTGTTTTACTAGCTAAAATGATTATGAGTTAGAGCCAACTAGTACAATCTATTATGATTATCAACATTAAAAAAGCTAATTGTTCTCAACTTTTTGCATAGAAAAATAAAGATACAGTTTAGGATCTTAGATTATAGACTGAATGAAGAGCTCAGTACAGGTCTGTGTACACTGAATTCTTGGTAAGATCTTGAAAACTGGCTATGAAAAGAAATACGTTTTTGCCCAGGCTTCTAAAGAAGAAATATGCTTTCAAAATGTCTTTAATTTGTGGTTTCTGGCTCTAGTGTACCATTTGAAGTCCTGATTTTACATTGTAGATTATTTTGAAATGACAGAACCAGTAAATAAAGAACAGTCATGCTAATAGCCTTACATATCAAACAGAAAACTAAAGTAAAAGATTTTAAAATGGACACAACTATACAATGTAGCTTTTGTGTGAGTTTGCTGGTTTTAAAACAATGCTTTCCAAAGCAGCCACTTTTCGTTTGAGTGGCAGGATGAGGGTGGCCGAATGCCGAGGCAGAGCGCAGAGATGGTTTTGCCCCGATGCGAAGTCCCCATCGATGCCCAGCGCAGGGGGCGCGTGGCGCCTCGCGTCTCAGGGGATGTGGCCTGGCGGGGACAGCAGCAGCGACAGAGGAAGGGTCTTCCTGCCGTGGCTCTGGACCGCGTGTGGACGGGCAGGATGGTCCAGGGCCGTCAGTCTGTCATACTGAACAGGAGTTCTCTAAAGGATCATCTGAATATTTCAAGTAAAACCCTCTTCTTGGATTGAGTTTCTATGTACTTTTTGCTTGTTTTTATTGTTTGGAATAATAGATGTTCACACCGGTTAAAGGAAAAAACTAGGGAATATAATTAAAAAATAGAAACCAAAAATAGTTGCTTACTATTAAGAAGAAATGACATTTTCAGCTTATTCTGTACTAAATAGCCAAGAAAAGATGTATGAATCTCTTTTGGAATTTTGAATATATACATTTGAATGATGTTTTGAAAGAAGTTGATTGTTATGAGTGACTTAGAATTGGTTCCTTCTTCCTTTGCCATCTAAGATAGAAGGGTGGGGACTGGACTTGTGTTTACCTGTGTATTTATATTTTACCAGTTACTTTATTCAGGATTAAAATGTGGCACAAATTAATTATTCATTTGTCATTGTTGAAATTTTCAAGTGATGAAAACTCTTTCTAAAAATGTCCATCTTAGTAAAAGCTGCCTGACAATTATGATAGTGCAAGAATACAGAATCACTTTGTGGGTTTACATTTTACTGATAGTGTTACCTTGTCTAAAAAGAAAACAAACTTAATTTTTCTTCTATTCATATTGACTTGAAAAGTAATACTCTATAGATGATCTTTATTTTTTGTGTGTGTATTTGTTTACATTAAGAGAAGCTTCAAAAGGTAAATGCTCAAATTTACTTCAAACTTATACATTCCTTACATAGATAAAATTTTCTTATTTAAACTTACATGTTTGTTAAGCGGACTCTTATTTTATTATATGAGAAAACTGCAAGGGCTTTTGGTCATTTAATTATAAGTTTAAGATAAATAAATAAATCAGATGTGACAGATTGCCTGAAATAATTTTAACTGAATAAATAACAATTCTAACAGTTTTTCCAAGTCTTTTTTGATAAACAAATTGTTTAATTGTTTAATTTCCGCTGCATATATAAGCCTAACACAACTGAGTGTACTCATTGAAATAAAGGATTTTTTTTTTTAATCTGCGTCCCCTTCTTTTGTTAAGAAACAGGAAGAGGTAAGATAAGACAAATTAAAGGATTAAACACATATTATGACCTGCTAAGATGTCAACACACACACACACACACACACACACATACGATTTCTTTTTCTGGCTAGATAACTAATAGTCAGTCCTCTAAAATGTGCCTATAATAATACTGAAGAATATAAATTTCCTTTGTTTTCCTTTAGATTTTAAGCTAGTATAAATAAATGTTTCTCAACACGTAGGAGTCATCAGTATTTAAGCCTTTGGCAGGATTTCTGTAATATTAAGTAAGACACGTTTTCTTCCCGAAAATTTAAAGTAAATTAGTAAACACGACTTATCCAGAAAAGTTATTCTGTGGGGAAAAACATAAAAATGACTCTAAATTATAGAAATTAACTGAAATGTTTTTCAGATTGCAAACATTGGATTTTTACTTTAGTGACTTTTAGTTTTATTTGTAAATTGACTAATAAGGATTTGTCTAAGAATTATCAACCATTGTTAAATATTTTTGAGTCTGTATATAACACACTCTTAGAAGTATTCTTTTTAAAGCAAGACATTTGGAAAATGTTCTTGTTAGATAAATGCCGCAGTAGAAATGACTGATCTAGGAGGCTGAAAATACCCTGAAAACCCCTCAGTTTTACTCAGCTGTGCCACTCGAAGCCATCAGAGTCTCCCTGCAGAATCATGTGTAGGTTCTGAACCTCATGCTTCCTCTTCGTAGTCGTTTAGTTCGGATACCTTCTCATGGGAGGACACAGCCTAACAGCATAGCAGAGCAGGGTCTTCACTCGATTCCTTCAGTCTACTAGAAAGCTACTCTGAACCTCAGTGTACATCTATAAAATGTGTATTAGTTCCATTTTGGTGATGATTAGATGCATTTATATTTGTGCTATGCTTGAGTTGTCCTTCCACTGCAAGACATGGCAGCTATATAATAATATTTATTTTTAAAATCTCACTGGTTCTTACAATAATTATAATTTTAATAGTAAGGATAATTGTCATTATTATTAATTACCATTTCAGTATCTTTATTTACCAAATGAGGAGAACCTGTGTTCCCTTCAGAATTCCATAACTGTAGCTAAAACTGTATTATACTATTTTATTTTAAAGGGCCCACTAGAAGAGGAATTAAAATTTTTTTATGTCTTACCTTTATGGAAATGTACTCAAGCTTGACAATTGACGTTATTGTTTATAATTTATAATAATAACTTATTGGTTTTTGGTACTGTGTGGTTTCCCCAGGTTTATCAGTTCCCTAAAATCCTACACTGCCTTTAGCTATTACCAAAACTTTTGCCCTTTCTTCAGAAATAGCTTATGTCAATTATTCCATTTTACCATCAGTGTTAAGAGAAACTAGCATTAAAAATCCTCATGTATAATCTCTTTTCTTACTCTGAGCAGAGTGATCTAAATAAGGTTGTAGCAAATCTGATAATATGCTTATATGGTGTTTATGTTGTTTTCTCTTCTGCTAGGAGGTGGCAGAGTGACTTACAAAAATTATCCTTAGATTTATATGATAAACTTTGGTAAGAAAGTAGTAAGTTGCCCAGTTTTTTTTGTTCACTCTATATCTGGTAAATGTACTGGATTTTGAATCAAACGTTTTTCCTCTCAGAAGAAATTATGTGCATTTAAAACTGGGCTGCCCAATTTTGATGTTCCCCCAAAGCTAACTGTGTTTTCCTTTCATCCTAGTTCAGACTTGGTTCCTTCAACTTAGAGAAAGTCGCAAGCCCAGCTGAGGTCATTAGAAAACTCATTTGTGACTGCCTGGACACCATTGCAGAAAATCAAACCAAAAATGAGCACCTGCAGAAAGAAAATGAAAGGCTTCTGAGAGACTGGAATGACATTCAAGGACGGTGGGTGCATAATATACTATAAAATCACTAGCTCTTGTTAGATCATTGCGGCGCTAAGTTAATGATTTGTAAATTTGTAACATAGACTAGCTTATATTTAAAATCAATTTATCATTAATTATACCTTTACTTATAATAATTGAAACAAATTATTGGCTACTATTGTACATTATAGCAATACATTAACACTTTTAGGTCATTGGTATTTGGTTGCACCAGCAAACTTATAAATGATAAGGAGTAATTGGGCAATGAGAATCAGAATCAGTTAATATTAATCAAAATTTAGGAAGTGGATATTTATAAGGGTTACTTTTGCTCAGATTACAGGGTTAATTGTGAATAAAAAGAGCATGAAGCGTAAGGAGGTCATTCCTTATTGGAATCTTTATGTGAGTGCTGCTATTTCACATGACATGTGCTTTGGCTCCTAATAGAGGCTTATTTTTCCTGATTGATTGAAAATTCACACTACCAGCATTTTTAAAAGATGAGGTAATTGTGACTACTGGAAAAGACATCGGAAAGCCTTTTATTTTCCAGATTTTACCACTTATTTTTTAAAAGATGAAGAGGAAAGTCACATCTTCTTAATTATGAATTTTCTTAGCCATGTGATAATCTAGGCTGGCCCTGGGTTTAGCATGTGTTACTCTGCTATGTAAAAGATGTTTGAGAAAAATAAAATGTATGTTGTGAACATCATATCTCTGTAGAGACATATATAGCATAATGTGCATATGTTTGTACATGTATGTCTTGCAACATCTGAAAGAATTATGTGGAATGTATATAATAATGATAATTATTATTATTACATCCAGTGTGTACAATAGATTCTTTAAAATTTTTATTCAAACCGGTAGTAGCTCTAAAACATAAGAACATTGATTCTATTTAGGGTTTTTTTTTAGGGCAGTCACTGAGACTGTTTTTATGGACATTCGTAAGTATATATAGGAGAGAACATGAAGAATAAGTGAAGGGCGTCATCAGGATATGTATGTAAAAATGAGGTTGACTAAAATAAATTATTTGTATTTATTTAATCATTTTTATTAATGCAAGGTATACAAAATTAACTTGCTAATATCTGGTTATATTTGGCTCTCAGTTATTAAAAAAGTAATTCTCTTAGTTCTGAATTAACTTTTGTCTCCATTCTTATAAAAATAATGTAACCAAATCAATGTATAAATACTAGGAACCATACAGAAAAATAAGTTAATTTTTCTTTTTAACTTCTATTTTATTCATGTTTGAATCGATATCAAATATCTCTGTTAGAATAAATGTTTTGGGGCCTACTTGTATATGAAATAAATCAAATTAAAGGAGATGTACTGTGTTTGTGATAAGCCATTATATTTAAAACTTAAGATACCCTCAGGATGATAGGACGTTTGATCCACAAATTGCCCACAGAAATGCAGAGTAGGTACTTGGTACTTGAACAAATTGCTTTAAAATGTCTGCCAGAGGTTGAAAGAGGTATTATCTCATCAGTATTCAGCACCACGGCCATGGGATGGAAAGCAGCAGGGAACAAAGATGCGAAAATGCTCCCTGAGCTGTAACGTGTGAGGAGTACCTATCACATGTGGCCCACGGGTGCTCCATTTGCTATTTCTGAGCTGTGCAGAAAGTCCCTTTATGTTACTGTGGCAAGAAGTTTTCCGTTTGATCAAAAGCACAGCCATGTATCTTATCACCTGCCTTATTATTCTCCAGCTATTCTTATTTTGTAAATACTGGATCAGACATCTTCTTCAGAGGCTGAAGATGTGTGCTATTGGGGTGACCCTCCAAACTGAGAGAAAAGACAGTTCACTCTAGAGAATTCTAGGTTCTTGATTATAGACCAGATGTTAGATTAATAGCTTATCTACAGGGTGTCACAACAGTAGGTTTACAGTTGTGAGTACACAAAACACAGTGTTTATTCTTGTATTATTATTTATTAATTATTGTATTATTTTCCAAACAACTGTAAACCAACTTTGACCCCGCCCTGTATTTCCCATTTTTCCCCTCAAAGGAGAAAGGGTGTGTGTGTGTGTATGTGTATTATATCTTTATTGATTTCAGAGAGAGGAAGGGAGAGGAAAGAGATAGAAACATCAATGATGAGAGAGTCATTGATCGGCTGCCTCCTGAAAGCCCCCTGCAGGGGTCAAGCCCGAAACCCTGGGCATGTGCCCTGACCGGGAATCAAACCTCCATCTCCTAGATCATATGTCCTTGCTCAACTGCTCAGCCATGCCAGCCAGGCAGAAAGGGGTTATTTTTAGGAGCTTTAACTATATCCTGGCCATGGCCAAGCAGTACTTCTTTAGGGTTCCCGCTCAACAGCCTTAGAATACTAGAAAATGAGCCAAAGATTTGCAGCTCCACCTTTCATGAGGTATGTAGTACTGATCAGAACCTTTAGAGAGATTAGAAGTAGGACATGAATATGCTGAGTTAGGTCACTGAGGACATGGAAAGTGGAGAATCATTAGTTGGGGGCGTCATGTTAGGTCTGCCACAGTTCAGTTTTCTGAGCAGCCTCAGATTTGTCTTACCAGTTTCCTTCCATAATCCAGTCAGTTCTTCCCCTTCATTGCTCCAGACTATATGCCTGGGGGAGTGAAAGAGGGAGGGATATAACATAGGTGCAGAGAATTCGTCTCTCAGCTATGGTAGATTGGTCTTAAATATTTTTAGTACACAATAGGATATTATATAAGCAAAAAGCAATTGTGTACACATGGGCTTATATCATGAAAAATGGTTATGATATGTTAAGAGGAAAATTTGAATTACAAAAAATATGAATAATATCCTATATTTTGGCAAAATATTATCTTTAGATAGAGACTAGAAGGAAAAAAATGAAAATTTAATAGTCTACATCTGGAATCGTGGAGTAAATTTTACTTTATGTTTCAGGGTATTTTTTTGCACATATTTTGGTATTTAAATAAGCATATTATTATAATCAGAGCCAACTCTAAAGCTATTTCCATTTGGGATGGCTGTGGAGAATAAAAAACGTTTGACTAAGAATTGAGGGATTACAGTATGATTAAAAAGAGTGAGCTTTAATGTGTAGACTTAATATATTTATTTACTGTTGTTGTTTTTTATTTTTAATAACTTTGGTCTTAGTTCCATTTTGAACAAGGGACATTATTTGATTAATTTAATTTTGTATAGTTTACATAGAAAAAACATTAGAAATATTGTATGCAAATCCTTAGATTATTAGCTATATTTATTTCACTGTTTTTTTCCTGTTTATTTTAAATAACTCTCATGTTCCGTGTTACTAAATAGGTCTTTTGTTTGCATTCATACATCAAATTAGAAACTCCAGCTTTCTTCTGATTTTAGTTATTAAACCTATAATTTGAGGCAGTTTTCAGAGATTGAAATGGGTTGGCTCATTGAGTCATTGGAATAGAAGGGACCTTGGACGTTCTTCCATTCCATCCCTCTGCCTTCAAGCTGGGATCACATTACATCAAGAGACAGACCTCAAGAGGTGGCTGCAGCTCTCCTTGGCAGCCGGTGACAGTGTTTACCCGCAGTCACAGCCAGGAGGCCCTTCTCGCCTGTTGCTAGCCGAAGCCCTCCGTGGCGTGGCTCCTCTCCTCCGTCCCGGGAAAGGATGCGGAACAGATGCGGGCCCTGCTCTTCAGCGCTCGCGGCTTCTTCTGTCTCTGCCGCTGCTTCCTTTGGCAGCATCCTTTGTCCTCTGAACTCTGCTACATTTTCCTTTGCTCTACAGCCCTGACCTGGATATAAATTTTGCCAGAGCTGATTATAAATATAAAGATTACTGTACTGTTTCTAAGTACCACATATTCACATTTATGTATCTATTGTTTTATTTGGGGCTATTATTTAATCTGTTGTTTTATTTTGTTTCTGCTCTTATTTTTGTTGTTTTTAAACTTGTTATTTGATTCTTTGTTTTCCCTCCCAGAAATATTTTATTTTGGATCTGCAGTATTTTTCATGTTTAATTTTGATTCTTTTAATTTTTTAAATACCTCACTCCTAAGTTACTAATTAAATTTAACATACTGTTCTGTTGTCCTAGTCACCCATGGAAGGGTGAAGCATCATTTAGGCCTTTCCTGTTTGAAGTTAGTTATGGTTTCATCAGGTTTGAGCTCTGTCGTGGAGGTGATCCTTGGAGGATTGTGGTCTGATCAAGTTGTATATGAGTTTCCCTTTAGTATCACTGAACTTAGCATTGAATCCCATGTCTCTCCACTGAATGGTCCCAGTTACTAATAATGCCTGTTTAATTCTTGAGGTGGAGGGTTGGCGTGAGACAAGTGATATGGAACACATCTTAACATAGTGCCATAAGGGAGGGTTGGCATTAAACGTGGGGGTGGGGATGGTCATTACCTTTTAGTAACTGACTCAAAGGATAGTATCCTCTGAATTTGTTAATTAAGAGTAAATTTATTTCCTGAAATTGTACATAGTAGTCCTCTGTCCCAACTAACTCCCACTCCCCAGCTTTGTCTAGGAAGTGTTATCCAGTTTGATGATCAGAAATTTGGTTGTAACAAAATCTTAAGGTTTTGCTAAAGCCAAGCAAGTGTACTTATTTATTTCTTTACTTTTATCCTCGCCTTAGGATATGTTTGTTGATTTGTGTGTTTGTGAGAGAGAGAGAGAGAGACAAACATTGATATAAGAGAGAAACATGGATGGTTCCCTCCCATATGTGCCCCAACCAGGACGGAACCCACAGCCTACGTATATGCGCTGACCAGAATCGATACCTCAACCCTTTGGTTCAGGGGACAATGCTTCAGTCACCTGAGCCACCCTGTCAGGGCTAAAACCAAGCAAGTTTAACTCACAGGATGCCACTCATTCTATTGAGTTTGCGCTCTTACTACTGCAGTGTTTTTGCCTTTGACAATGTAATCATGACACTAATAAGATTATCAATATTTTAGACAAATTATATGATATTTCATTTTTATATCTTTTTTCATTTTTAATTTATGTTAATAAGTGCACATACTCTTTCAATCAGGAATTATTGAAATGTTTTACATGGAAATTAAATATGTATTTAAATCAGATAAAGTACTAATTGGTTACCATTTCTAAAATTTTATATAATTATACAAGATTTTTAGTGTGCATTTTTATAACTGGTTTTTACTTTGCATAGTTCTATTTCATTATTATATACTCAGGTATTTTAATGGTATGTATGTTCTATTTATCTTTAAAATTTCGTTATTGTGTTACATTAGAAAATAGTACAAGAAAATGAGAAATAATATTTACTTAACACTTTACATCTGAAGTACAGATGCAGTGACCTGTCCCTGCTTAAAATGGGCCATCAATGTTGGCAGCTCTTCAACTTTGGCTCTTTCCCCTAACACCTTTTGGTTTACTTGTTTCTTAGAGAGCTTTTCTTGATGAAAGGAGTACTGTTATATTAATATTAACCACAATTTTTTAGAAGCTAAAGTAAATGAAAAATATTACTGTTACAGTGGTTAATAGCTGCTAAAAGTGTGAAAAAATATAAAATTCAGAATCACTGGTTCTCCATTTCTTTATAAGGTGTCCATGGTAACTTACCAACTTGATTCATTTATCTCATAGTAGCTACTCAGTATCTGTTGAATGCAAAACTCTGTGCTAGGTACTAAGGATAAAGCAGCCAATAAAACACACAGGCACTCTGCCTTTATGAGTTCACAGCTCATGACTATGCTATAAGTGCTGTAACTGTTCCCAGAAAATATATTGCCATATGTTTCTGTTCATTCCATAAAAGGCCCTAATTCTTTGCATCTCTAGATAGATATGTTGTTGAAAGCATAATGTCATATGTATCAAAGGTATCAAATTTTGACATTTTGTTTCTAATTATTTCACTGAAAAATATTTTATATATTAAAAATCTATAAACTATATTATAAATATATAAATAGATATAATAGATATATAAAAATCTATATAGTGAAAATGCTGGGATACCTGCAGAGAACAACAGGAGCTCGAATGAACAATGTGGTAAAGAGAAAACTAGGCAGAGTTAGACGAGCTTTAAAAGCGTATTTTACAGGAAATAATTTATATTTGAATCTTTAAATAGACGTTTATTTATGGTGTGTGTATATGCACATATCAAGTACATGTAACCTCTGCTACTTTGCTTTCTTTACTTTATATAGTGTATCTGGGAGATCAAAATTAGTACATTCTCTTGTTAGTTCATTTGAATATTGTAGAAAGAATTAGAAATTATAGAGAATTTTATGTTTTGTCTTACATACCTAAAATTAAAGACATATAGTGTTTCACATTTGCTGTTTCATTAACCTCTCCTTGGAACTTTCAAGTTGTATACTTTCATTCATTGTGTGTGTGTGTGTGTGTGTGTGTGTGTGTGTGTGAGAGAGAGAGAGAGTGTGTGGTGCTGGGTTATAAGCTACAAATGGCCTGGAGAGGTTCATAACCTATTTAAGGAAAATAGATTAGGTAAATCACGTAATTACAGAACAAGGCCACTGTTGCTATTATAGTAATATTTACCAAAGAATTTGTATGTAGATATGCATAACTGAAGGACACCGACAGTGGTGGGGAGGGAC